AAGCCTGAAAATAACCATTTTTTTCTTCAACACTAACAGAGTAATTTAAATGTTACACTGAAAATATTTAACATTAAAGAAAGCAAGAGGTGGGTTGTGGCTGGGCCACAAGTAACCTGGTATAAAATGCTAAGAAATTTAAATGTTACTTTACAGACTACATAAAGCCGTTAAAATATTTTAGACAAAGGAGTAACATCATCTAATTTGCATTTTATAAGGATCATCCTGGCAGCAACATAGGCGATGAATTGATGAGTGAAAGCTAAAGGCAGAAGGACGAGTTAGATGGTGGCAGCAATAATCCAGGCAATAAATGATGAAAGACGATGGAAACAGGAGCAGGAAGAAGGAAGACTAAATTAAGAAAATATACTTAGGAAACAGAATTGACAGGTCTTTGTTATTAAGGGTGAAAGAGGGGGAGGTTTTCATGAAACCTTCCGGGTTTCTGACTTAGACAATTGATGGATGGTTGTGATATTCATTTGACAGGGAAGAGAGGGGCAGAACTGTGGGGAAAGAGGTTTAGTTTTAGATACACAGGAGAGTCCAGTTGGAAATTCAAATGTAGAGTTAGGAGAGAGTTCTGGGCTAGATGTGCACAGGTGAGAGTCACTGGAATATTGATTCAATTGAAGCCATAGGTTTGAATGAGACTACTCAGAAAGAGTACATAGGATGAGGAATGGGCAGGAGATTGGACCTCAAGGAACATCAGCGTAAGAGATAAATAGAAGAATAGGACACTGCAAAGGAAGAAAGGAAATTAAAAAGGATACCAGGAAGCCAATAAGGGGAGAATATGATCAGATCAACATCAAATGCCAGAAAATCAGAAATAAAGATGAAGAATGATAAGAGAAATATCCATTGTGTATGAAAATTTGAATATAATTGTTAACCTTAGGAGAGACTTTTCAGTGGACTTAGGACAAGGGTCTCAAGATCTGGACAGTTCTTAGTAAATGCTATTCTTGTGAAGCGTTAAAATACAGCACAGTTATTTTGCAGACACAGCTCTAAACAAGATGAGCTTGACAGGAACCCAGTTGTATAAGGGTAGCCGCTGCAAAGAAGAAATCAACATGTCGTTAACTAAATAATGTGTATAAGCAATGACGAAGCCTCTCTTCAGGGAGACAGAGTAGGATGTGAATCCCGTCTTCCTTCTGCAAGTAGATAAAACTACCTAAGGACAACCATATCTCATTCTTGAATGGAACACCTCAAGCAGCGAGCCCCTTGAGTTCAGAAACAGAGAGGTAGATTGGGATGGGGTTAGTTGAAAGTTCTGGTGAGCCAAATTATGGTAGGTTAAATTAGAGATGAGGCAGTGTGGATGGGAAACGCATATGACTCTTTCAAGAAATTTAGCTTTCAACAGAGAGCAAGAGGACAATAGTGAAGAGGGGCTGGGATCTTCGGAGAGGCTTTTTCTTAAAGTTGGATGACACTTAAAGAGAGGGGAGAGCATGCTTACGTGCCAAGAGGAAGCCAGAGAGAGGAGGAGAGGGTGACATCACAGGGATTGAGCAAGACCTGAGGATGCAGGAGGAGAAGTGATACAGGCAAGGCCCACTACAATAGGCCCAGCAGTATTCTCTTACTCTAGTTTCTTCATTATTCGGTGAATATTCCTAAGACACAATTTTTAGAATAGAGTCAGTAAACTGGATAGAGAAGCCTTCTTACAAATTTTTGTGTTCCTTGCCATAGTATGCTAGATGTGGCAGATATGCCTGCAATTTTTAAAATTCATTAAGTCATTCCTCTGATAAATAATCGACAGTACCCTATTGCTTAGAGGAAATAAAAGTAGAAACTAACTCAAGCCCTTCCAAATGAAGCTAAAATCCTGGGCTCCAGTCTGTTTCCACTACAGCTGCCCTTTCCAGCCAGGTTGCTAGGTTGGCTTGCCCACATATATGCTTTGCTCATCCTGCTGCCTCTGCCCTACTCCCACCCCAACACAATATTATTCCTCTCTTAAGGAGTCTGAGAATAAAAATCCCAACCTATTGTTGCCTACGAGGTCCTTCAGGATCTGCCTTTTGCTTATCTCTCCAACTGCATACAAAACCACTCTCCCGCAAACTCTCTTCTGTTCCTGGAACAGGGAAGTACTTTCTTGCCTCCAGACATTCACCCTTACCCCTGACTGCTGCCTGGAATGCTTTCTTTAGCTTTTTAAAATTTTTATTTGTGTGTGTGTGTGTGCCTGTGGCTGGCTACTTTTCATCCTACAGTTCGCAGTCGGAATGTCACTTTATCTGACTTGATGAAAGTAGATCTATTTAATGTAAATCCCATACCCTGTTATGAGTTACCATAATACACTTTTTCTTTGCTTGAAAGCAAAGAAAGCAAAGAAAAAGTGTATTATGGTAACTCATAACAGGGTATGTTTGCTGTCCTTCCCCTTTCCTCCCAACAGAATGGAAGCTCCATGAGGTCTGTACATGACGTCTCACCTTTCTTATCCCCACTGCCTATTATAGTGCTTGACAAATGTTTCACAAATGAATGAACGAACAGCTTCTCCATAGTCTCAAACTCCCCTTAAATCCCACCACCATAGTGAATAATAATAGTTTATACGTACTGAGTGCTTACCCTGTTCCAGTGGTACATCTGTTATCCTACTTAATGACTCCTCATCCCCCAGTTTACCTCCTGTAACCCATACAGTAGTTTTTAACCAGGCCACACATTCTGTATTTAATCACAATTTAGCCTCTTGCTTTGTTATGTAACATATTACACGCATCACTCTTTTTGGTCTAATGAAATAAAAATTCTTAGTGCTTTCCTTAGTGTTTAAGGTATGCTGAGTGACTGAAGGTACACCACCCCAGATTATAAGCTTAACATAATAAGAATGTTGATAAGCTGTCTTTATTATAAACTTCAAACAGAAAACCTAACCCAACTTGGAAGTGGACAAACACCATTCTACCTATAAAATATAAGAATTGGTTAAGGTAAGATAGTTTGAGCTTAGCGGCAGGAGATAATGCAGTTCAATATCCTCTTTTTCCAGATGAATTTGCCAAAATCTTAACTTGCTAGAAAGGATAGTCTAGTCAGTCAAACATGCTTGCAAAACCAAGTTTCTTCACACTGAGAAGCCGTAGGAAAGGGTCCTAGCATTAAGTGTTGACTATTGAATTTTGAAATATCTGCTTTGCAGTATTGTGAAATCCCAACCTGAAGAGTCTTCCAGTGTTCATGATTTCAGGAGTTCCTTTGCCCACTTCTAGGCAGTGGCTTGGGAAACATGGAATTTATCCCGGTAGAAATGGCAGAGAATAAGTTCCTCCCAAACTCTTCTAGATGCTTTTACAGTCTGGAAATTTGGTTCTACATCGCATCTTAAAGAGGTTACAGCTGCAACCAACACCTTCATGTCTTGAGCTCATATCAAAAGGAGCATCCCTGGACTTCAAGGAGCCCTGCATCCCTTGTGAAAGACGACTTCAGGGGCAGTTAGCTCTGTTCACCTCCTCTCCCCTGGGTGTGGCCTTCCCCAAGGCAAGTAGTAAGCTTGGAGTCCCCCAGGGCCCTTGTTTCTAGCACTCTATCCCTGAAAGCCTGAAATCTTCTCAGGCTTTGAGTACACCATGGTGATTTTCTTCTTGGGTTCCACCGTGGAGCAGATGTGTGTAGTCAGGAAAATGTTGCTCAACCTGTCTCTCCTCATCTGACAAGTCATCAGGAAGCATTGTTCTGCTGGATGTCCTCCTGGGTATGCGTCCTCAAAGGGAGCCTCCCTCTACTAGGAAGGGTGTCTTCTTTTCATTAAATCTTCAACTCCACAGACCCAACTGTTCATTGCAGTAGAATCTAAGCAATGCTGTACTTTGCCAAGGACTCTGTTTTTTAGCTTCTTCTGTGGCCAGGGATGTAATTAAATGCCATCGTTTTAATGACACACATTTTCCATTCCGGCTGCTTAAAGTTCCTTCTCTGCTAAATAGTTTAGCAATTATCTCTTTGGCCACCACCTACCACCCTGGGAATGGCCTGCCAGAGTGAGGGGTACTCCTGCCATTTTAGAGTCCCTGTAAATTAGGAAGAACTCTTAGCAACTCGAGTAATGTCATGATGTAGCCTATTTATTTATTTATTTATCTATTTATCTATTTATTTATTTATTTATTTATTGTAGTGGAAGATTGCTATCTTCTCATTTTATATTAGGACTACTGGGAACAAGCATCATCAAGGTGGCCAAAATTACCAAAAAGCCAGCTTTTCAAAATTCTTAAATGTACACTATTCCAGAGTGTAGAGTAAGAGAACTTCACATTCATTTCCTCAAGAGCTCAAATTTAGATACTAACATTATCTCTGAGTGAGACTGTAGAGTCCCAAAGCATGTATTAGATCGTTTATCAGTGTAAATAACACTTAAAATATGCCACAATGTAATCCTGCTTTTGGTATTGCTTTATTTTAATCTTCATGTATCAGGAACCAAAAAAAAAAAAGAAAGAAAAAAAAAAGGTGCCCAAACCAATACCAACTTCTTGGAGCTTCCGGCTTGGAAGTCCCACCACTAGTTGGGGCCGTTGTATTGGGGGGCGGGGGGAGGTGATGAAAGGTTGCGTCTGAAGGCAGGACTTGGGCAGCAAAAATTTCAAGGCCAGCTCTCACGGTCTCCGAGATTTGGTCGCTGCGCTCCCACAGAGACCCGTGGGGTCTGGGAGGGTGGAGGGACCTGAGCGTTGCCTGACCCGAACTAGTGCCGCGCCCCCCGCCACCACCTGGAAGAAATCTTGAGACGGAGTCGCAGTGGGGCTCGGAATGGGGCGTGGCCGCGGACGGGTTGGGGCGGGATCTCGTTGGGATGAGGCGGAGCTGAGGACAAAATGGGGCGTGGCCTCGAACGGGGGGGTGGAGCCTCGGGCAGCACCGAGGAGAGGACAAGGTGGAGAAAAATGAGTCGGGCCTGGCCGGAAGTTCAGAGGATTTGCTTCCGAGTGCCGGAAAAGCCGCGCCTGCGCGCTCCCGGCACCTGGGCGGTCCGCGTATCGTGGGTGCGGCGGGGAGACTGCGAGTGTGTCTGTTTTTCGTTTCCGTTTTCCTCCCATTCTCAGTTTCTTGGCGAAAACCGGGACGTGCAGGGGCAGACCGACGGACAGACCCACCCACTGTGCCCCACCTATGTTTGGCCACGAGGACGCCCATTTCTCTCTGGACCCCGCCCATTAAAGCAGTTTCGGGATGCCCCTGTATGGACCTATTTCCTAAAAGTGAAAAATTAGTGTTTAACCGTTTCGCAGTTGGTAATTTTGGGGGAGGAGACACCCTACCGTGGGGCAGAGGAAATTCCAAGGGGACAGCGGTAAGGGACTCGTGGACCCGCACACGAAGAACGCCCCTTTCCGCAAGCTGGGGTGACGTGAAGTTTGACAGGTCCTGGACCCCTCGGTTTACCCCTGGCAGAGTTCTGGATGCCCGGGAACGGATTTGGGGCCATGCCAGTTTCCAACCACTTTAACCGCATTGCATCCTCATTTTGTGTCTTCTATCTAGATTCTCGATTCAGTGATTTGAGACTTGCAGGGTTGGCTGGAAGCCACAGCCCAGCCTCACGATGCAGTCTGAATCCAGCCGGTGTGATGAGGAGACCCCTTCTCTCTTGTGGGGTTTGGATCCTGTGTTTTTAGCCTTTGCAAAACTCTACATCAGGGACATCCTGGACTTGAAGGAGTCCCACCAGGTGCCAGGTATGTTGCTGATCCGCGTGGTCGTTGCCCTGTGCTACGTTTGCACCCCACACTCCCCCAAAGCTGCAGAAATTTGAGACATTGGAGCTTTCATGAGAGCCTTTCCTCCTGCAAACTTTGAAAATGACCTAGCCTGAACCCTCAAATTAGTTCATTTTTATGCAAGCTTAAAGCAGTCTAAGTCTTTTCTTAAATAGATGTTTGGGAAAGTAGTCTTTGTACTGAGGAATGTTTTTACTTGGTTTTGAAGTCTCGTGTTTAGAAATGCTCAGTTATTTTTCTCTGGGCCTGCTCTTGGTAGAATGCTCACTGGACTAGGCATCCCTAGGCTTTGCTCCCTTTCAGAACTGTGCCATTTACCTGGCTTAGTTGTGATAAACCTGTAAAGCTTCTTTGTAAAAATGGGGATTAACTTAATTTTGTGGGGTTTTGTTTTTAATTCATATCAAACATCAGAATATTATCTCCCTGAGAGGAAAGACACCATCTGCTTTGTTCACATATGTAATCCCAGTGCTTAGAACAGCATCTGGCATGTGGTAGACTCTCAAGAAAAAGTGAATTGGAGCAACAAAGCATTATAAGTGTAAAGTAAAAGAAGTCACTTTTTTTTTATTAGAATGGTGGTCACTAAAGACAGGCTCTTTATACCTAAAAATATAACAAATATACTATGGTGTAGATTTAAATAGTTCACATAGCTGTGGATAGATCTATACATGTTTACTGGGCTATATGAGAAGTTTGGTTAAACTCTGCTATTTCCAATGAATAGTGTAAAAGTGGAAATTCTCCAGTTTCAAGGAGGTGATATCTCCAGGCGCCAGCCCCAGGAGAAGCACAACATTCCGAGGTGCAGATGATAAAACGGTCTACTAGGCCCTGTTTGATTTGAGAGTTCCCCCGGATACATTTATCTTTGTACAAAACGTTAACGGCTAACTTCTGCTTCTTGTAATCTGCTTATTCAAGGATGTAGTTGGAGGCTTTATAAGCTGCCTCCTCTGGAAGCTCAGGGCTGAACTCCTCTAACCCTGCGTGGGAGAGAGTCAGTCGCCAGCCGGCTAATAAAGGCTCATAATTAATCTCAATTGGCTCCGTGGGTCTTAGAATCATTCGCGCCATGACAAATAGCAAGCTGTGAGTCAGAAATAGTCAAGAATCTCAAGTACGCACAGTTCAATGTGACATATTGTGTGTTTCCAGTTCTATATACAAATATATCTGGGTGACCTTTTGTACAGATTTTTCACCACACCTTTATTTCCTAATTATTGTTGGAAATGGTGGTTTTTTCCTTGGAAGGCAGCCATCCTCCCCCACATTTGTCCGTTTTCCAGAACTGTCTGGCATTCTAAATAGCTCATCTCAGGAAGAAATTAATTCATACCAAATGCCAGCCTTGCTTAAAGATCTTCTGTAGGTGCTCAAGGAAGTATCGGGAGCATGACAGAGTCTTACCTCTTCTGTAGGTGAAAGACTTTAAGGTATTTTAATAACAAACCAAGGAAAATTGGTCCTGATGAGCTTTGCTATATTACTTGCGATAATGCTTCAGATGTGGTTTTTAAAGTGAAACCTCATGACTAAAGCATACATAGTGATCTTTAGATTATACTGTAGTGTTCTCTAAGGGTGAGAAATTCCACTAATTTAGGTTTTTACTTTTGTGTTTTTGTTGTTTTGGTTTGGTATGGTTTGTTATAAAGAAAAAAACTTCTTTTTTGAGTACATAAAATTTAGAAATGTTTAAATAGCAAAGAATATCTTAAGTAAAATTACAAAAGTTAACTAAAAAATGATAAAACAGGAAAAGAATGTTTAAGAAAGAATTTGGTAGGCCTTTGTCTTTCTTAGGAGATCTTTAGATTTCTGGAATGAGTGTCTTTGTTATTCCTGGTGGCCCCTTGAAACACACCTGAATTTATGCTAATGAGTTGCCTCTGGCTGGGCCACTAGGTAGTTTCTGGATTGGGGGAGAAGGGGGAAGTTGTTCATACCTGAAAGACTAATTGTGTGATTATAGTGTTGAGATTTGAGCCACTTGACTTCAGCCTGACTCCTTGAGATGAGAGGGGCACTGGAAATGGAGTTCTCACATGGCCAACAATTCAATCAATCTTGCCTATGTAACAAAACCCTAATAAAAACTCTGGGCCCTGAGGCTTGGTTGAGCTCTCCTGGTTGGTAATCATACATCCTTATGTCCTAAGGACAAGGAAGCTTCGTGCTTGGACTCTGCCATACTTTGTCCGATGCACCTCTTCATTTGACTTGTCTCAATGAAACCAGAGGGCAATTGAGTCTGGGGCTCATGCTGCTTGTACATAGCGAATAGATCAACACAGGAGTTGGGATATTTAGAATAAGCGTTCATTGTCTGAGCACCAGTGATGCGAGAAGGCAGCAGGTTACCACCTTCAAAACTGCCTTACTTTCTCATCTGGCTTAGAGTATTCAAGGGAAAATCTGGGCATTATTCCAGGGACTACGTGATGGTTCTGGGGGTGTCTGTTGTGCTTCACGGAGTCATTCCTCTGGCAACGTGGTCCTCCAGTGGCGTTAGCAATCCAGGTACAAAGATGAGAGTAGTCTGGAAGAAATGCTAGACCAGAAGGATTGTGATCCTTAAAGGGCATTAATCATAAGTTTCAGGACAACTTTCTATGGCAGGGGACATTCCAAGCTCTAGGTCAAGCCGCAGGGGACAATCTATT